AGACGCGTGAGAGCGGATGTTGACGTGGCCTTCGGTCTTAGCCTTTGGCCAAAGGCTAACTCAGCATCCGCCCCCACGCGTCTTACCACGCTGCGAAACAGTGACTAGACCGGTATTTTTTATTAACTACTAACTGCCTCTTTTTAGTTTCTAATTGCTGTGCGCTTATTGCTTTGAGGTTAGTTGAATTTGACTCAGCTATTAGGAGCAATTCGAACCGGAAACTGTACAGTACTGTCACTTGGGTTTTATGCCACCTTCCTGTTTGCTTTAATGCCTAGTCCGCCGCCGAGTGGTGTCCAAGACCTTAAGGGCCACATTCAGCATATCAAATCGGATGACGCATTATTCGCCGAATTTCAGGTAGGTGGCAGTTATCTTCCATGACGTACTTTTTAATACATAGCAAAGTAGAGCTCCCTGAAATCGATACTGCGAACCGTAGCTTTTTCAGTTTTTTTTCTGTTCCGCACTCTTTTAGAGACTTGATGTGCTAACAGGGCAACAGGACGGCGACTATGGGCTAACGTCCAAAATGGCTGACGTAGTGCCTGCCTTGAACCGATATAAGGACATGCTGCCGTGTAAGTTAACCTGCTGGTTTCACAAGGACAATTTTTCGTAAGGCAGCCTATCTTGCCTGCTCTCATTCAGGATAAATAACTGAGAGAAGCAGTTATCTAAGCAATTAAAATAAATCCGCAGCGACGTTACTTTCGACAGGAAAGGCGGGAGAAAACTGCTGACAAAAAAACGCAGGGCCCCCTAAATATCTATACCCCCACCCAAATTTCTAACGTATTTTTTGGTTAAACATTTAATTCATGATTGGTGAGTGTAAATGTATATTTAATTGTGGTGGAAGGGATCAAAATATATTAAACTAAAGCAACTTATATTTGTTTCCATTTACCAAATTGAATCAAATCCATCAACATAAACTCCCGTTACTCAGGATACTGATGCCAATTGAAAGAACCGGGAACTGTAATTGGCAGAGTTTAACGAAAAAGGGAAATTCGAGTTACTGAAAATGCACAGTAAGTTATTGTCATAAACCAAAGGTAAAAGGGACTTCTAACCACGGTCCTGCCAACAAGCATTAAAGAAAAGGGAAGGCTGAGACGCCAGCAAAAGGACGGACGGGGAACAGAAGATGTAGTTTGTGTTGGGGAAATCCGAGAGAAGAGAAGAATAAGGACTAAACGGAGTGAAATTAGGTAGGGGAAGAAGTAGAGGTTTATATAAAGGAATTTGACTTACGCTGTTAAGAGGATAAGGCACTGTGAAAAGGTGCTTCTTAAGCACGCGAAAAGTTAGCGGTCGAATTGGAAAAAAATAGGAACCAATGAAATCTTCGGAATCAGCATTTACGTTCACAAATCTACGAGAGCATCCCTTGCTGGGGCACCCTTAAAGATTGTGACCTTCACTGCATCTGTTCTATCGTTAACTTGTTCAATTCCACATCTCATTAACAGATGATCAGAACATCGTTCGCCTGGACCGTGACTGGGACACATACTGCGGAGATCAACAGCCCATCGGACCTCTAGTACGCGCGCTTGTCCATCTGTTAATACATATCCTCTAATAGATGCCGTTTTGGCACAATTATTTGTACCTACCTCTTTATTTTGGCTCTCCTACCTGCACTGAAACATTTACCTTCGTTTTAAGTGCGGAATACTTTGGTCTTTAAAAATATTGTCCACTTATTTTCTATACGAGACCACCTACATGAAGACGGAGCCGGGCGTTTGCAT